TTTATAAAGCAAGACGAAGAAAAATATTTCTCTCATGCAGAATTAATGAGCAATGTTCAGAAGTAAGTGAAAAGAGTCAATATAGACTTTCTGAATTTAACACATTTACTTCCAAATAATTTTCATAATAATTTGTCGACAAACTTGCTTAACATAAGAAAAAGTTTTGAACAATTGTACTTTCCCGAAAAAAGATAATTCATGCTTTAAACTAAGGCTACAATTGCATCTTTGTAGCCTGTTTATCTTTTCGTTCTCTTTTCAGGAGTCTTAATTAATGACTTTGTGTGGGGTTGTTTAATCTTTGGGATTCAAGCTGTGAACACGTACGTTTTCACACAGGGATCCCCGTTTCCAAAAGCTCCATATCGTTACATGTTCCACTGTAACACCCATAACGTGTCTCAGACATTTTTCATTCTAAGTCCCATTGCTAAGTCAGTGGTGAAACGAACACAATGTAGACCTACTCTTTCATATTCTGACCAACACAGGACCACCACTCCCTCACACGACCACTCGGAGACAGAGGAGCGGCCGGTTCACTTCCACTCCTCCGCTGGTCCATTAAAATAAATTACATCAAGACAGCACAAATGCATCTCACTCCCAGCCTTAAGCGTTTTTGACAGTTGCTAAAGTAGACTAGACAAATCAGTTGTGTCCAGTTCCCCACAGAGGACGCTCATTTAAATACATTCATGCAATGCGAGAGTTTGCGAGAACCTAAACCGCTACCTTGCCGGCTTCTGTGATGTGATCTTCTGTGTTATTAAGCACTTAGTTTATCTTCTACAATCCACTGACTCAATCAAAAAACCCTAATAAAAACCTCACGTTGTTAATCAAACGCCATGCGCAGCCATGGCAGCACTACACAGATTCTTACTCTTTCTGCTCACTGTCACCTGATTCTAAAGCTTTTGTTTTACACACAAGCCCACCCACCTGCACACATGTTTATGCATCACGGAGTTTATGCACGGCACAGAGCTGAGCTTTGCCTGACATTATTAGTTTTGCATTTGGGCCCCCTGCCCAGAGTAACAGTATGGATTTTTGCCTTGGTTTCCTATAATTGGATGAGTTAAATTTCTCCATTCATTACATGTGCATCTGACCTCTGGACCTCGGCAGCTCCAGTGTTTTATTAGCACTCTCATCCCCTGATAATAGGGAAGCCTTTCTCTCGCACACATTCCCCGCTCCCCGACAAATTAACTCTTTGTGTTGAGCGTTCACGTGAAAGACAAAAAAGATATGCAAACACGGAAACAAAGTAATTTATTTAATGCTTTTATGTTCTTGTTATTCAGAGGTAAATATTGAGCTCTGCAGAGTAAACAATCCTGTGAATCATGGAAGTTTTATTGTGTTGTTGCCCTTGTTGTCCTCTGACGATGTCGGTTGTAAGAGTGTCATTCACAGCACGTTGCCTTGTTTTCTCACGGTTGTTTTTGAAACATTACTAAACCAAACATCAGTGGCTTTTATTGGGATGTTCTCTACAACCAACACAAACTCTGTTTTGTTGTTTGAAGGTAGATATGTACCCCAATTTCTGTTTTTTCTGGTGAAGAAAAAAGCATCTCCACAGCATGATGCTGCCTCTCAGTGTCTTCTGAAGGAACTTTTACTATATTTGAGTTAGTGAAACGCGCAGCAATTAAAATTTTCCTTCACTCCGATGTGTCTGTGCAAATGGCAATAAATTCTGTTCTACAGCGAGGCTGAACACACATTTCAGATTCATATAGTCCGATTTGGCCTTGTGCAACTTCGCTGCGATAATTTTGCTTGAGAGAAGATGAAACACGTGAAGGTGGTCAGATATGATCACCGTGGTTCAGTGGGACGCGTGTGAATTACATCTTGAGGTAACTAATCCGTCCGGCTGCAGCGACAGGCTTTGCATGCCTACTCTGGTCATGTATATTTCATAGGAGCATGTATTTTTAACACCGCATCTATACCATATGTGGATATGATGTATGGGTACTGACAACAGTCCTTGACATTATATGCACAATTACTCTTTGGCCCTGCAGTAAATTCTCAGGTTCAGTGGTAGTAAACAAAAAAAAGAGAAAAAAAAAGAGAGAGGAATGTGTCTAAAGGGGCTCGAGTTTGGCACAAGGTCAAAGCCATTGTGGACTTAATCTGTGACTTTATACAAATAGCCCAGACTGAGAATCCATTTGTCAATGAATAATTTACAAAGATAATGTATGCAGCAACAAATGTCCCCACACAGCAGAGCAAGGCGCCGGAATCAGAAGACAAGAAGGCTTTTTTTCCCCTCCTTCTTCTTCTTCTGAAATCCTGGCTTTCACATTCAGATCTTCCCCATCCCTAAGTGACCAGGTGACACCTTCTTGATCACAACCATCTTTCACAGCCAAGAACTTAAAGCCTCATGTGGCAATTTCAACGACCTTTGGAGACAGTAATGTCGTTAGCAACGGTTCTCTGAGGACCCGATGAACAAGTATCCGTCTGGTTGCAGGCTTTTGGATAAGAGTTTCTGACAGCTGCAGAACAATGCTAATGTCCGCTCTTTTGCTGGAGCTAATGTGTAATCAGCTCAGCACTCGGCTGTTAAAACTTTACTACAGTAATGCATGCAAACATGAATTCCATTTATTCCCCCACCAGGTCCCAACAGGCAGGCTTTAAAGCTGCAAACTGTCTTACATCACAAATTACTCTGCTGGCACCTAATGCATTTTATATCACTCATAATCCTGGTGTTCCACACTAATTAGCCGGACTTGCCAGCGTGCATATTTCTGCCATTATTTGGTAGCATCAAACTGTTTTGTTTTTTTTCTCCTTTTCTTTCTTTCTTTTTTTTCATGAGACAAATGTGCGACCACAAACTCCTCACGGGTGGCTGAGATTGCCCCAAACCTACCCTGAGCTTGCAGTTTTTCCCACAGAGCAGGTGAAGCAATTTGAAGGTTTTGGATCACAAAAGCTGTAAAAGAGTTTTCATAAGTAATTAAATTCCTTTCAAGCTGAACCAAGCTAATCAGAATTTCACAAGCCCTCTGTACTTTTGTCATTAAAGCAACGGTGCCTCTAAGGATTGTTATAAATCCGAATAAAGATAATAAATGGAGCTAAAAGTCTCCCTGCTTGCCAAGAATAAAACCACAGGTAGTGCTGTAAATATGTAATGTCCCCCCTATTGTCTGTAAACAATGTTTTGGATTTCTTCCTGGATACATCATAATTAAAGTTAATCCCACAATGAGAGAAGTATTATAAATTGTGCTGTGCAAAAGTATTTTGCACTGGAAAATGCCACCACAAAACTCTTATTTTACTGGGCTACATGACGCAAAACTAGTTTTGCACATTTTATTTTTGACAAAAATAAAAAGTACATTTGTAAAAACACATGAAGGTAGGTAGTTTTGATAAAATTACTCATTAACAAACTGTTATGTTAACAAATCGCTGCCTCAGTAATACACAAACAGCAACAAATCTGATTGATAAAACAATATTCTGCACCCTGTTGTTTTGAAGGTTCTTTTTGAGAGGCCCCTTGCAGCCTAGAGAGCCACATAAAAAGTTACGGCAGGGTGTATTTGGCCAGGAAGCCTCGAGTTTGACGCCTGTGCCTTAGAGGTTTGCTAGTGAGCATTAGCAGAAAACTCCTGGATAAAGCTGTAGAGGGGTTGAAAGCAGGGTTAGATTATAAAACAATATATCAATACATTCACCTAATGGAGTACTGCTTGATCCATCATCTGGAAATGGAAGGAGCATGGAGCAACTGCAGAGCTACCAAAATATCCACCTAAACCAACAGGCTGGGCAAAGACAACATGGATCAGAGACGCAGAGCGCCGTGGTTAAGCTAGAGGATGGATCAGTGTAATGTCCACACATCTCACTTAGGAGTCTAACATCTGGTCATTGTTTAAAGAAATAACCAGATGTTAGATTTAAGAACTACTGCCTCAGGAGGGGATACATGCATTTAAATGCCACATTTTGAGATTTTTCCCTTGTAAACAAGGTTTTGAAGACAGTATTTTACTATCCTACCAATTCACCGCGATGTGCTTTGTCTTGATCCATCACCAGAAAACTTAGCAAGACTCATAAGTTTGTTTTTGTAATGTAACAAAACGCGAACATTTTCAGTATATGTGAATACTTTTGCAATGTATTGTACGGTTCATAGTTTATTTTATAGATTCCCTGCGAGAGATTGCTTTCATCTCTCTACAGAGCTTACTGTTTCCTGCCAAAATAAACTTTGAAAATGTGCAGAACATCTAGTTTTCTGCATTCCTCACTGATTCTAATCTGAAATAAATCACTGTTTCAAGAACAGTATTCCCCTACACAGAAAATAGTTTAAAAAACCCCCAAAACATTTAAAAGACATTGCCTGTGAACTTAAAATGGTACCTGTGAAGCTTTGTAGTTTACTCCAACAGAAACTTTAAAGTCAGTTGCTGTAAATCTTATTAGTTCCAGTGGATTACAGTTGTGTCAAATTGTCATAGCATAAATACATCAACACCTCCATAATATTTTTGGCAAAACAAAACTGAGGAATTTATGCTCAGCTCTTTGAGCTTGTGATTCTGTGCAAGCACGTTTGGGTCAGGTTGGGCTAGAAACAAAGCAGTTCTTGCAATAATAATTATGATAGTTTTCTCTTTTCCCACTTTGACCATATGCACTGGATTTGGGTAAAGCACATGAGTACAGTTAAAGCACTTAGTTCATATCTTGGATATATTGGATAGCAAACACATTTTTTGTGAGTATTGCTATTCACAGTGACTTTTTCTGACAACAGATTTCCTAAGCTTTCTTCTTTTTTTTTTACTTTTGAGTTTTGAAGCCTCTAAGAGATCAGGCTGAAATCCTTAAAGATTTTCAAAACGCTCCTTGATCAGACGCTCCTCTGACAACTGAGACGACCAACAACCAAGTATAATTATTGGTTCAATTACACCTTGTTTGACTGACAGAAACAAGAAGCCGAAGGATGTAATGGATCTTCACTGAACATGAAGAAGAAAAAAAACATGGCTGATGGATTCACTGTGTGAGAAATCAAGAGCTGAATCAGATGCTGACCTTGGAGATGCAGCAGATGTCAGGATGTCTCGCGAATCCTCATTGGCATTCATCTTATACCACCAACAGCACACACGTGATATGTGATGAGAATGGAAAAAACACAATATCGATAACTGAAATATGCCTCGGTGTGTGTGTGTGTGTGTGTGTGTGTGTGTGTGTGTGTGTTTGAATCTGCTTATTTGAATTAATAGCTGCACATGCTACACTGCAGTAAATACAGAAATACTTTGAACTGTTTTCTGGGAGAGATACCCCTAGTGCAAACAAACAGTCTAAAAGCAAGAGCATATTTTCAGCCATAAAAATCTCTAATAAAAGTAATATGATTACCTTGTTTGTGTAAACACTCAAGAAGGGTATGAAAAAAAGTCATTTCAGTTGTTGACAGCTACGGAGATACTTCAACTATGTTTTTCAATTAATTTCATTAAAAAGAAATGTTACTTGCTTTGTTGTTACTTTCAAGTTAGTTTACTTAATTTTGTTCAGTTATTAGACTCGACATCAAAACCCAAAACTAATTATGTTATCACAGCCTTGCATATCTAGGATACTGACATGCAACTTGCATCTCAGTCGCTCCAGTGTCACCTTTTCATGAAAATATGCCCAAATCTTTATTTTTGGACAGTTAAAATTTTTTTTACACTAAATATCAAACTTTGACAGGTGTAAGCAGTATTATTTGTTCATTTGTTTAAAGTAAATTATTTTAATTAATTATAATACTGGCAAGAAAAACCGATGGAGAAAAGTCAAATAAGGCAGGTTTTGATCATATTTACATGCTCTGGTTATAGTAGCCTCAGTTAATCATGTTTTGCTATGCAGGCTCTCCGTCTGCACAGTGGAAGATTCCCTCACCTCTGCATGCCGGGTGCTTGCACATTGATGCCACAGCAAAAAGAAACGGAGTGTGTCCATAGAGGTTGCTGGATGTTTTCCAACTTTCATTCTAAGATGAATGCATAAACAGGGAGATGTCAACACATGTACTTCATAGGCATAACTTGACTTACTGTTTTCCAACAATTATTATTTTTATTTAAGGTTCAATCAGCTTCTCAAATATGCTAATTTAAATGGCAGCGTATAGTAGGAAATGTATATTGTATTTACTTTTTTCTTTTAAAATGCTTGGACTAATTGTGTGTCTGGGTAATAGTGTTTTTTTTACGATTGTGAATAGGACAGTAACTTTACTGAAAGAAGTTTGCAACTTCTTGATTCGTTTTCTACTTTCTCATTCTGCCACAGTCTGACGAATAAGTGAAGGGCAGCTAAGGGCAGAGACCCCTTGTAGGCAACAGCTTACATTTGAGAGAAACTACCCAGTTTCTTTGACAGATCTGAATTTACCTCATGACATATGTGACTCAGAAACAGACCAGAATTGGAACCTAAATGTCTTGACATTTAATTGCCACTTGTAGGTCACTGGCAATCCAAAAATCCTGCAGTAGATCAGCTCATCAGAGAGCTGACAGATTCCCAGCTTCTCTCCCCTCACCAGATTGTCTCTCTTTCTCCTGGCACCTGATGTCGGTGCGAGGTTGCTGTGCAGGCAGTGATGACCTGGTCAATAATCAGTAATAAAGATGGTGTGCTGAGCATGATTGTAGAATGATTGGTCTGTCGATAGTGTATCGAGCCGACACACCGAGAGCCAGACAGATGCACATTTTGGAAGCAACTGAAAGGCAGCACAGCATGGGCTAAAATATGGTAGCTGTATTAGGACAATAACAACACCAAAGCACTCAAGGGTTGAGCTTATAGACCAGGGGTCTGTACACATTACATTTAGACTATTGGCACAAAAAGCAGTTGTAGAATAATGGATTTGTGTTTTTGCTACCTTAAGTGCTGGGGAATACACATGTTTATCTTGTGGTTGGTTTGATAGAAAGTGCTGGGAATAATCAATTAACTATTTAGAAATATTTAGTCTGTTTTGATTACAAATGTATCATTCAGCCACTTTCAATACATGATGAAGACATGCTGTGTAAATACAAACTGCAGTTTTCAATTGTTATCAAACATTTGCTATAACTGGATGTGAATCCTTTACATCACTGGAGACATTTTTGGTAAAATGTTCTTTTTATTAAAGTTATTGTAATCCAACTGTATTGGGTATTATTTTTATTAAAGACTTTTTTAAAGACTTGACACAACTTCTCGGTTCGATATAAGTTCCAGACTTTAACTAGGACTATATTGAAACAGAAGGCAAATATGACCCAAACCGATTTTTAACAATTTTTTTTTATCCCACATACTTGACATCCTGTCGGTCGTTGCCTGAAGATGTGTCATTCTCATGTCTGATCCATATTCGACTTCTTTATGGCACTGAACAGACAATTGTAATCTTTACCCTCCCCCCCCCCCCCCCCTCCACAACAACAACCTTTTTTAAATACAGGATATCACCTAGTTTGTCATGTTT